AACTTGAAAAATAAAACTTCCTCCATTTATATAATGATACGTGGTGTAAAGTGTATCACCCATGTTCCGAGCACAATACAAAGTTTCTTTTCACATTGGTACTTCTTCTGGGGGTACGTATGTATGGATGCCAATGTGCTAGTCGCTATCCTTCTGGAGGAGTTCAAGTTTGTATGATCATCTTAATTACCTGCTCCCACGTCCAAATCACGACTCTGCTCAGAAAGCCAAGTAGTCTATGCATGAGATAAAGAAGACGACAACAAAGTTCCTGCGGATTTTATAAATTAATGTGAAAAAAATATAAAGCAATTTGGAGATTGAAAGGCAGATTCTGTCCTCCCACTTTCCCTGTGCCTTCCTATTTGTGTGGTCACGGTTAAATCACGTTAACATTTTATATTACTATTCATTTTTTTCTTATTATCTCTATAAAAAAATAATATAAAATGTTAACGTAGCTTAACTGTAACCATACAAAATAGGAAGGCACGAAAAGTGAGCGGGCAGAGAATCTGCCTCTTGGAGATTGACCTCACTCAATGCACATGGGTTAGACAGACGTTTACATCTTATATAGTTAGATTGATGGCTTGGTACTTGTTCTTATTAGAGTGATGGCCAAGTTATCCACAAAATGATAAAAGTAGTGAGAGATGAGAGTTGTTAGGGTAACGGGAGATGCGCCTTCATTTAAGTAAATTTACATGATGCCCTTCCAAACGAGAAAAACTTGTATGGGGCTTGGCTTGCCATTGGACTTTGCTGAGTGGCACTACAATCCACTTAAAACTCGCCACGTGGCAAGTCTTAAATATAATCTTTTATCATTATTTTATATTTAAAATTTTTAAAATTATTTTTTTAAATAATTAATATATTATATATATTAATGTTATGTTTCCTTTTTTATTTCTTTCCCCCTATTTTTTTTCTTCCCAAATCCCCCCACACTTGTTGTTTTGCCGTAGGTCTTAGGACTCCCTCCCCTTTCTTTCCTTTCCAGTTTCGTTTCTTTCTTTCTTTAAAAAAAAAAAAGTTATGCACCCACTCCAATTTTATCATGGAAAGCAATCAATAATCTGTAAGTTTCTTTTCTTTCTTTATACAATAAAACTCTGATCAAAACATTAGCTGTTAAAAAAACTTTTATCATATTATAAATATAAAAAACCAAAAACCCGAACCCGAACCCAAAAACCACCCAATTAAAAGAAAAGAAAATAACCCTAATACAGCTATATATGTGGGTTATTAATGTCACATGATCAAAGCAACTATTGTATAAAGAAAGAAAAGAAACTTACAAATTCTTGGTTGCTTTCCATGATAAAATTGGAGTGGGGTCATAATTTTTTTTTTTTTTTAAAGAAAGAAAGCCATCAATCTTCATCTACCACTAAGAACTATTCCATCAACCGCCATAGCAAAAAACAACTAAATCGGCAGACCTCAACTGTGCTGTGTAAAAATCAAAATGGTATTAGGAGCTTTATTCATCAATTTAGAATTAAACAAACTCATTTAAATGAAATTTTGAATTAGTTTGAACAATTAGGTACTGACTGACTAATCCAAGGATAACCACATCTTCTATATCAACTGATGCTACTTAGATACCATCTGATTAGGGCTAATGCTTATCTATGTAACTCTCCTAATCAGTTTTGTCAGTAATTTCTGCTCTCCGAGCTTTAGATATTGTTGGAATCCAGTAACACAACTATACAAAATAAGTCTAACAGGATTTGAGAGAGATATTTAGAAAGATTTAGAAGATGAAATCAGAGAGAGAGCACACACATAGAGCATAACCTTTCAGCTTCTATCAGTATATTTCATACTGGGCATAACAACCCGAAGAGACATTTTTAACTGATGACAAAGAAGAGAGAGAGAGACATAACCTCAATTCAATCTCAACCAACCATTACAACCTATCTTAAGATCAAAACACTTGTCAAATGATAAGCCCTATGAGACTTGATCAACACACCACAATTTTACACAATAGCTCAGCCTATGAGCTGAGACATGACACACATAACAATCTTGTAATGTGTACTAATCAGCTCAACAACTTACATACTAACATTCCCCTTTAAGTTGTGAACTGATTTCACTCCAAGTAGATTTCTCAAGTAAGTGAACTGCTCCCTTGCCAATGCTTTTGTAAAGATATCTGCTAGTTGCTCATTTGTAGGACAGTGAATCAAATCAATTACTCCTTGCTGTAATGCTTCCTTTATGAAGTGATATCTTCGGTTTATATGCTTAGTCTTCTAATGAAAGATGAGATTCTTGGTGATGGCAATGGCAGATGTATTGTCACAATTCATTGGTGTTGCAACAGTTTGCATTTCACCAAAATCCTCTAGAACAAATCTCAACCAAGTAGCATGTGCTGTTGCTTCAGAAGCACTGATATACTCTGCTTCGGCTGTGGATAATGCAACACATTGTTGCTTGACTGAAGACCAAGAGAAAATCCCATTTCCAAAAGTAAAAGCATACCCGGATGTGCTTTTCATGTCATCCTCTGAGCCACTCCAGTCACTATCACAGTATCCCATTAAGAGTGTTCCTTCACCTTTCTTGTATTCCAAACCAAAATCAAGAGTTCCTTGAACATATCTCAATACTCTCTTTGCTGTTCCATAGTGCTTGTTAGTGGGACAATGCATAAACTGAGCTAAGAGACAAGCAGCATACATTATATCAGGTCTAGTTGCTGTGAGATACAGCAGACTACCTACAATCTGTCTATACTGAGCTTCATCTGCATTTCCACTTCCATCTTCTCTTCTCAGTTTATCACTTGGAACCAAAGGAGTACTCACTGATTTGCAATTCTGTAGTCCGAACTTCTTCAGAAGAGATAAGGCATAATTCCTCTTATGAATGAAGATACATTTCTCAGTTTGGATTACCCCCATACCAAGGAAATGGTGTAAGAGACCAAGATCTGTCATCTCATACTTATACATCATCTCAGCTTTGAAAACATCCATTAACTCTTGACAATTTCCAGTATATATAATATCATCAACATAGATGGATACTATGATCAATTCTGTGTCTCCCTTGTACTTGGTGTACAGAGTTGCCTCACTGATGCTTTTCTTAAATCCACAAAGCATAAGGTATGAATCTATTTCACCATACCAGGCCCTAGGTGCCTGTTTTAGACCATACAAAGCTTTATGTAATCTGTAAACCTTTTCTTCCTCTCCTTGCACTACAAACCCATCTGGCTGTTCAACATATACTTCCCCTTCTAATACTCCATTCAGAAAAGCTGATTTCACATCTAGTTGAAATAACTTCCATTTATTCTTTGCTGCCAGTGCAATTAGAGTTCTAACTGTGTCTAATCTTGCAACAGGTGCAAAAGTCTCATTAAAATCAATTCCGGGCTTTTGTGCATAGCCTTTTGCAACAAGTCTAGCCTTGTTCTTTTGAACTGTTCCATCCAAATTCAGCTTGTTTTATACACCCATTTCACCCCCAATCACAGGCTTATCTGAGGGTCTTCTCACCAACTTCCATGTCTGATTTTTTTCGATCATATTCATTTCATCCTTCATTGCCTTTTTCCAAGCTTCATCCTGTGCAGCTTCATCAAAGGATTCAGGTTCAACAATACATAAGTGACATCTCTCATAGATCTCACTCAAGTTCCTATACCTCAGTGGAGTATCATCATACTGAGCAGAGACCTATGAGCTACTTGATTCACCAATAGCAGTAGCTGGAGAACTTCCAGCTTGAATTTGAGACCCATCAGATCCTTCTTGTTCATGAGATTCAGACATCTCATTAATTTTATCCAACTCTGAAGACTCAACTGCAGATAAAGGAATACAGACTTCCTTGACTTTGTGTTTCTCCCAGTCCCATCTACCATGTTCATCAAAAATTACATCTCTAGATAACAAGACCTTTTGAGTTAAAGGATTCAGTACCCTATACCCCTTTTCACAGGTACCATATCCAATGAAAACACCCATGACACTTGTTTCTTCTTCTAATTTGTGTCTTAGATTCCCTGGAATAAGAGAATAGCAAAACTGAACCAAACACCTTCAAGTGTTTAACCCCAGGTTTTCTTCCACTGAATTTCTCAAAAGGTGTAGTATTCTTCACTGCTTTTGTAGGACTCCTGTTAAGCAGATACACATATGTGTTTACTGCTTCACACCAGAGATTGTTGGGAAGTTCTTTCTCAAAGATCATGCACTTTGCCATCTCTACAATTGTCCTGTTTTTCCTTTCTGCTACTCCATTTTGCTGTGGAGAGTATGCAATTGTGAGCTGTCTTTCTATCCCCAAATCTTCACAAAATTTTCCAAACTCATTTGAATTGAACTCTCCTCCTCTATCTGTTCTTAGCTTCTTTACATAATATCCACTTTGAAGCTCAACCATGGCTTTAAATTTCTTAAACACATAGAAAGCCTCTGATTTGTTTTTCAAAAAATATACTCAGCACATTCTTGAAAAATCATCTATGAAGGTAATAAAGTATCGATTGCCACTCAAACTTGATGTTTGCATAGGACCACACACATCCGAGTGTATTAGTTCAAGTGGTTCCTTTGCTCTCCACATTGATTCTTTGGGAAATGGTTCCCTGTGATTTTTCCCCAGTGCACAACTTTGACATACAGTTTCACTGTCTTGGATTTCAGGTAGCCCCAAAACCATCTCTTGACTCTGTAACAGTTTGAGACTTCTGAAATTTAGATGACCGAACCTCTTGTGCCAAATTCTAACACACTCCTGCACATTTGTCCTCAATGCAAGCTCCTTGTTTGTGTTGAGGATTAAGGGAAAACATCTATTTCCTCTCTGTTTCACACTGACCACCAGGTTTTGTAAGGATCTATCATCGAACACATCCACTTTATAATCTCCAAATAAAAGAAAGTAACCGTGCTCAGTCATTTGTCCCACACTTAACAAATTTTCTGTAAGACCAGGTACAAGCATAACTTCTTTTATATATCTTCGACCGTTACAGTTTCAATGATCAATGTTCCCTTCCCTTCAACTTCAACCAAAACTCCAGTGCCAACTTGGACTTTTGCTTTCACTTTCCTGTCAATATCAACAAGTAGATCTCCTCTGGATGTCATATGGTTACTACATCCACTATCTATATACCATTCATCACTTATCTTCCTCACTTCTCCAGAATGATTTGCATAAAACAAATTTCCAGTTTCTTCAACCTGATTAGCAAAGTTCACATGCTGCACAGTCTTGTTCATATTACAATACCTTGCAATATGCCCAATTTTGTTACACTTGTGACACTTGACTTTGTTTTTAACCCAACACTCACTCCCATAGTGAAGTTTATCACAGAATTTACACTTATCTCCAGTATTGTTTGCCTCATTCTTCACAGTGAATCCACCCTTATTGCTCCAATCACCCTTGTTACTCCATTGTTTTTTCTCTTTTGGCTTAAAATTCTTGTGATATTTGTTACTGTTTGGCTGACCATTGAATTTATTAGACCTCGGGACAAATTTCAAACTGGCAAATGCTTTCTCCATACTGCTCTCTCCATGTCTATCCAACCTTTGTTCATAACCTTTTAAGATAGCTACAACATCCTGTGCATCTATGGTGTCTAAATCCTTAGTATTCTCTATCACTGCTGCAATACTATCATAGGACTTAGGTAAACTGATTAACAATTTCTGAACAACTCTCTGATTACTCAGATCTTCACCATAGCTCTTCATTTGATTAATCAGATCAAACAACTTAGCAATATACACAGAAAGAGATTCACTATCATTCATGCGAGTATATTCAAAATCTCGCCTAAGACCTTGAAGTTTCACAGATCTTACTTGTTTATCACCAACGAACTCTTGTTTCAGAATGTCCCACGCAGCCTTCGCACTTTCCTGAGTTGCAATCCTCAGGAAAATTTGGTCTGAAACTGCTCCTTGAATAATACCTAGTGCCCTAGCATCCTTAACTACATTCTCACGCAGCAGCTTCCTCTCCGCCTCTGTGAGTTCCTCCTCATTCGCCGGAGCTCTGTACCCACTCTCGACCATATTCCACAGTTCATACGAGCGAAAGATGGTCTTCATTTTGATTTGCCAGAAATCAAAATTCTCACCATTGAAAATTGGTGCCCGGAGTTCTCATCCTCCAGATCCAGCCATATTAGATACTCGAATCACTGCAATAAGCTTTTGCTGTGAATCCGAGCTCACCCACTCGTAGAAACAACGCCCAGAAGTTTAGATCGAACTCGGCTCTGAGGCCATGTTGGAATCCAGTAACACAACTATACAAAATAAGTCTAACAGGATTTGAGAGAGATATTTAGAAAGATTTAGAAGATGAAATCAGAGAGAGAGCACACACACAGAGCATAACCTTTCAGCTTCTATCAGTATATTTCATACTGGGCATAACAACCCGAAGAGACATTTTTAACTGATGACAAAGAAGAGAGAGAGAGAGACATAACCTCAATTCAATCTCAACCAACCATTACAACCTATCTTAAGATCAAAACACTTGTCAAAAGATAAGCCCTATGAGACTTGATCAACACACCACAATTTTACACAATAGCTCAGCCTATGAGCTGAGACATGACACACATAACAATCTTGTAATGTGTACTAATCAGCTCAACAACTTACATACTAACATATATGACAATAATATTACATAGGAGTTTGGACAGATACTATGCCACTGGGGACACAAGAAGTAACGAAACTGGGATAGAAAGAAAGGGGAGGGAGTCCTAAGACCTATGGCAAAACAAAGTGTGGGGAGGATTTGGGAAGAAAAAAAATAGGGGGAAAGAAATAAAAAAGGAAACATAACATTAATATATATAATATATTAATTAGTTAAAAAAATAATTATAAAAAAATTTTAAATATAAAAGAAGGATAAAATATTATATTTAAGACTTGCCATGTGGCGAGTTTTAAGTGGATTGTAGTGCCACTCAGCAAAATCCAGGCAAGCCAAGCCCCATACAAGTTTTTCTCCTTCCAAACCCTCTCATCGATCATTACTTTTCGATCTAAACTTTACATTAGCATACCTATCTCTTAATTTCATGTGAAACAATCTGATAAATGTGAATAGTGCTTAATCTGAATCACATCCGATGACTTAAATATATTGTCTAACAATAACATACTAAATTTACAAAAGAATTAATACGATAGAACAATTTAACGTTTAGCATGGTATTGTTTCCCAAAAAGAATTTTATGTTCATTAGATTTAAAGAAATAAAGTGTTTTACCATTACAACTTCAATTCACATTATTGGTCAAAAATTAAATTTTGAGATAATAGATGTTACATTTTAATGTGTAGAATGTAAAAGAATTCAACAACTATTCTGTTTTAGATATTTTAAGTGTGGTAGATCGCATATCACATGTTATTACCATCCACATTTTATAATAAGAATCATCATCAACAAATATGATACTTTATTAAAAAAAAAAAGACAGTGTATATTCATAAATAAACAGGAAAATTAGAAGGTCCTACATATTTTCTATAGTTAGATTAAACATTCATCCCTTTTAAAGATTTGATTAAGGTACTTCAATCAATTGCCACCTCAATAATTTTCTATTTATTTAATTTCCATGTCATTAATTTAAATGCATTTATATAGAGGTATAAGGTAGCTTAGCAACTAATTGTCTATAATATAGGAATTTAATTTCCTCAATCCCCTTCTGCGCATTAAATGACATTTTTAATAAAATAAAATAAAAAATTAATTAACTAATTCCTCATTTCCTTATTATTAGTATTTAAAGAAAATACTCTTTCTATTAAAATTGTATGAATAAAATTTCTTCAATACATATTTTTTTTCATGTATAGATATATAAAAAATATACTTAAAACTTATGGTACATTTGAGAACAAAAGTATCGACTTTTGGTACGTTTAGATTTCAAATGTACCAAAAATTCAAATGTACCCATTGTTATGTAACCTTTTTGGTACGATTAGATTTCAAATATACAGAGAAACCAAATGTACCATAAAACCAAATGTGCCAATTGTCAAGTAATCATGTTGGTACGTTTAGATTCCCATTGTACCAAAAGACCAAATGAACAAAAAAATCTCAAATTTACCACAAAATCAAATGTCTCTATCAGATAACCCTTTTGGTACATTTACATTCCAAATGTACCAAGAAATACAAAAAATCAAATCCACTATAAAACTAAATGTGTCCATATTATAGGTAACTAGACGTAGCTATATTATCAAACAAATCTTTACTATGTGTTGGGTCTTCTAAATAATAAAATTTGACAATTTTTTTTTATAAATATTCTACTATATTCACACAAAAAAAAGTAAATATTATAACAAAAAAAATGCATAGAGATGGATAATAAATGCATAAATATAGGGATAATAGAAAAAGCAAAAAAAAAAAAAAAAAAACGAAATGCCCAGAAGATGGATAATAAATGCATAAATATAGGGATAATAGAGATACTAGGAACTAAAATTAATAACCAAAATTTTAGGAAAATGTTTGATCAAATTTTCAAAAGGAGTGTATGTTTAGTCTAAAAAATTATAAAACGAGGCGTCTATATCAAAATGCCCCTAAATAAACATACTTATTTTAACTACAAAAGGATTTCTTAGGTTGGCGCAATAGATGATCCAAACTCAAAACTTGAATTAATTGCACACATGATCTAGACAATTATGCTTTCTGGACTATTGATTAGTTGCTTAACGCAATAGATTTGTCTTTAAACTGTTATAGATCAAAGAACACCTTGACAAGTAAATCTCAACCAACCAATCAATCTTTTATAACGACAAAGTTTGATTGGTGACTAATGACATTAATCCTCCCATTAGAAGCGTGCACGTCAGGAGTGGTATCTCACACGTTTTGTGGGAACAAGAAGAAGAAGCGCACTCCACAACTAATTAACTAATTAACTAATCGCAAGCTATTTACATCAAGCATCTGTTCCCGTGGTGGACCAATATTTTGGAATCTACTCATATAATATTTTGTTCGACTCAAAATATCTGAATATTATTTGTTCAATTATTCAGGTAGACAAGGCAATCATTCACACTTTATAACTCTATGTTCACTTTTTCATGTACATAATCATTTATACTTTTTTGTTAAATTAATTGATTATTTCGCGTGATGAAAGAGATCTAAAATTAGATGGGACCATAACATAGATCGCACTAGCGAATACAAGAATTTTTCTTCTCAAAGGCAAGTTAAAGCTCGCACTACTTTGCCTTAGTTAACTTTGGCTTCTTACTCTACCTCAGCCTTTTCGTGTATAGCAATAATGTGCAATGCGGATGAGCGCAACTGCATGCATTATTGATCCTATGCAGTTGTCAGATCATGAAATTTTTTCTCTAACTTGAACTACTCTACAAGTTATATTATCCAACACATATTGATTATGTCCAAGAAATTATATTATCAACGTCCATTAGTGTCAACATTATTTTTCACTTGGCCCATTGTTATTAGTAACAGAAACAAGAATTCGAATTTAAAATTTCTTTTAGTATTACAAAGCGAGATAATGCAATGCACCAATAGTTAGTTGGTCACTAACCTGGGTGTACAAAAGTAATATTGTAGAATTGATTAGAGATGTACGATTACGATGAGAAAGAAAAGAATGGAATGTGAAGCAATTGGATGAAACCCCAATTATGATTTATGATCAAGTACAAGACGTCATCAGAAGAATTGTAATGAGTTTCATACACAATTGTATATGGGAAGAAATAGAAAGAATTATTACAAGAATATGGTCAATCCAATTCCAGTATTTGAACAAAATCCTAGGTGCAGGGGGAGGGAGTAAAACCCAGTTTTTTCCCCCCCATGTCATATTCCCACAAATGGTGTTGCTGCATTATGCTACCAATAACTGAGGGACCAACATTAGTTGGCACAAACCCTAGACACATCCTCCCTACAGCTACATTAAGAGCATAGGCCTTCACTGGTGGCTCAAATTTAGCTCCATCTGCAAAGTGAATTGCGAATTTCGGCACTAAAGACTCGTTGAATCCCTTGGGACTGAAGCAAAACTCAAAAGGGTCTCCTTCTGTTGGCAATTTTTTCAATTTCGACAAAGCCCTTGTCATTACATCCATGACAGCGTTATATGCCGGCATTTTCAGAAATGTGAGGGTTGTGCCTGAATCAACAACGGTTCCACCTTTAAGATTTTCGTCCCACACACGAGGTGGTATACCTAACATTTTCCCCCCAACTGAGATTCCCTTCACATTTACGCCGTAGAACGACCCCTTCTCATCGGAGTTACCTACAACCAGCTTTGTGTACCTCATTTTTTTACGCAATGTAGCTGGTTTGTGGCCACCAAATGTCAGATAACTTGAGACGTTTCTGGGGCTTTGCTGATCAACCAGGCAATAAGAAAACTTGCCACCAAAGTTTAGGGCAGCTTTTGTAGTGAATGAGTTCCTGCCAAAGCCCAATCCCAATATACCATCACCATCTCTGATGCTTCCAGTCCCTCCACCGCCCTTGATGTGGTCTGTGCAACCAACTATCACATTTTCCAGTTTGGTTCTCCTGCCACTTGCCGTGCTTGCCCATACAGTCTCATTGGCAAACAACCCAAATGCATGTGCCCCTTCTAGGTACCTAACAAAATAGCATTGTGCCAACAAAAAAAAAAAACAAATTAAGTTGCTGGTCATTCATAAATATGTTTAGATTGAGTTGTTATTAGGTTATGAACTGATAATGTATATCAGGTTAGCACTTTCCTGCACTTTTAATCTCATTCTGCACCTGAAGAGGTATATAAAGAAATGGGGTGATGAGATTTAGGATTTCGGATTTAAGATATCCAACAGCCAAATCTTCGGACATCTTTTAAAAAATTATGACTGCCAGAACATACCAACAATGTTGATCAAGCTATCGCATGTGAGTTGTATTAAGATTGGCATTTGCTGCCTATTGCAGCCGCAAACACATCCAAAAGGGAACAAACTTATGTGTTCGGTACAAAAATGTGCGTCATGTGACTCTCAACTACTTACAATAAGTGCCATTTAAAATTTGTGCAGGATGTAGGTAAAACGCAGCGCCTACATCTTCTGCAGTTGATGAATTTGGGGTACCCCACAATTGTATCTGATTGTGCATAGAGACTTGTTAAATTTTTAACTAATTCTGTGTTGATTTCTGAGTTTTGGAAAAATCCTGATTATCCTTTAACCATAGCAAAACGGTCCATGAACAACAATGGGGACGAAGATGATGATGCTAAACAAAAGACCCTATAAAACCCCTGGACAAACACAGGACCATGTAATTTCTTTCTATGCCGACTTTAATATTTAGTATATTGTTTCACAACTAAAACCAACTTCAATAAAGACAAGTTGCCTAGCTACCAATTTTAGGTCGGCTTTGAAAACGAAATGGACGTATATACCTCAGAAAAGACATATGTTCCAGCTACTTCTGGTTTGGATTTTCTCTTCCATTTCCATTTCAATTTTAAATAATCTTCACAAAAATATAGTGTATGATCCTAACACACAGTCACGAAGTATAATTAGTCCATTAGTATAGCATGAGAATATTTGTTAAATCATGTTCTAGTACCACACACAATAATTAGTGTCGAATCATACATCTATTAAGATATTCTCTTATCCCATTTTTGAACCAAATTTTTGGACTGATCCTAAACTGGAAACTGGATTCTTCAATTTGACATTTTATAAACAAAAACAAAGAAGCAATAAGGAGAAAAATGCGAAAATAGAGAAGCAAGCGTACGTACGAGTAATCATATTTGCAAGGGCTCGATGGGGTGGGGCATTGGTTGAGAGAAAACATACCCGACAGACCAACCCTGCACAAATTAGAAGAACACGGTACAGATTTAAAGGAAGAAGAAAGATCTGCATGGAAAACCCTCTTGTGTTGCAACCTTCCTTTGTGCGTGCCGCACCGTTTTCCACAACGATATCGGCAATTTATCCACGTCAAGTCACTGCCGGTATCCGCGATCAACATGAACCTTTGTGGCGGCGTTCCGATTTTAATTTTCACCAGGTATTGCCCGGAACCGTAATCCCAACCCGAACTTATCGGCATTGCCATTGAGCCTCTTTTTTCTGACACCATCCGCCTCGTTGTGCTCCCGCTGCTGTTTAAAAGTACCCCTTGATCATCACGAAGGCTTTCTACTTCTTCTTCTTCTTCTTCATGTTGTTGCCTTCTGTGTGACATCATTTGATGGCGGACAACGTCATGGCTGTGGAGCAACCTGAAGAGCTCCTGCTGGGTTTTAGGCTTCTCATCCTCATGCAGGCCATTATAATGTGGAGAGTACCTGTGGATTAGCTTGAGCTTCAAGGCGTTTCCCTGACTTGCGCCGTTGAATGCATGAACGAACACGAAGCTTTGGATTACCGAGAGGAGGAAAATGATGAAAAGGGTTGAATTTTGCTTCACCTTCGCCATCAGGAAAATGAAACAAAATTCAGATGAAAAAATTGTAAATATGGGAGTGTATATAAACAGGAGAGGAGAAACGGGAAGAAAGCTAAAAATAGGTTTTATATTTTTGGGAAGGGAGCAAGTGTGAGGCTGGGGTTTCTGGTTTTGCAGTTGAGGCCTAATTTGTCGGGTGTTAATTAACAACCAGAGAGATTAAAGTGTGAGAGGTTGGAAAACCATAAAGGGAGGCGCCTTTATTTTTTGAGTTGGGGATATATATAGTATTTTGCCTTCGATTTGCCAATGCAAGGGCTCTCTACCACAGTGGTGGAGAGAAGTATTGTTCTTGCATCACGGCATAGGTTCGAACCCGACTTCCTAATCTAACATTTAATCTAATAAATCTATATTTTGACCAAATAAAAACTTCTGATTTGTCATTTAGTACTACGGTCTACTAGTATTCATCTTTACTTTGTAAGTGAGAGATTTTAAGTTCGATTATTACCAAATACGAAGTTGAACCTCATTATTGTAGCAAGCCCATTGTAAGACTTAACCCACTCCTCAACCTTTAGTGGTACATACCATCGTTTGTTCATAAATAAATATTAAAAAAAAACAAAATAAAAAAAAAACCCAACTTCTAATTTCATCTGTCTCTTTGTTTTTAAAATTACTTTCATTTTCATCTCCTCTCTTTGTTTTTAATATTATTTTCATTTTCATTTCCCACCACACAATTTTCTAATGAAGGATATGGGAATATGGTTGATGTGTATTCGTGTACCGTCTCCCTTTATACGTACCATTTGTTCCATTTTTCCACAATATCATGTGTGTGGCATCCGTGATCAATAATTTTAGGGGTTGAAATGAACAAATATTCTTTCAAAATATATGAGACTTTTATCAGATTTTGTTTAATAACATAATGATGCCGTTTGTATAAGACCTGATGCAATAATTTAGTCGTTAAAAACTATTAAAGATATAATTTTAGATGCATGCCTATCTGAAATATTAAAGGATGGACACGGTTTGAGTTTGAAGATGTTTTGTAAGAACTGCCTCCTTTACTAACATGCCTGCTCCTCTCAAGTCCTCTGCATGGAGCGAGACGGGTGATATTTTCACTTGCTCAACGTGGCCAGTTGGCTGAAAGTGAAAGTTTGGCAAATGTCAATATTCTCTTTTATAAAATTCATTGAAATTCACCGTTCATAAACTGATTCAGTCTCGCCATATAACTTGTATCAAGTTGTTTTACAACTCATTTTCAGACGGACGCATGGACTTTGGAGGTAGGGATGAAGTTAGAAATTTCTTTTAGTAGGGGTATCCCGAAAAATAACTAAGAAGACCTTATTATAGGATGACTTAATACCCAATATAATAATATGGATGATTTCAAATGATGGTGTATCACAATTTCAGTGGTACAAACATTTCAATCTAGTATTGGAAAGTGGTAAAGTGATGAGAAAAATATTCCTACATGATAGGCAGGAGAGAGTTTTTTGGTTTGATTGACAGAACATGAGCACTTTTGCCCATATTATGGAGTGAAGTAGTATGAAGGTATGTTGAACATTAGATACATATATTTACTACAAAGATAATGCATGTATTTTATATAACTGAAGTCTACAATTTAACAAACAAATTACTTGAGTGGAGGCATCTGCCCCAATGAGCCTTGATTGGCTCTGTCCTGTTTGGAGGTGATTGAATCCATGCATTTCTTCGACCGGGTTACAAGCAAAGGGCTTGTAACCAACTGGTTCAGAGTATATATGTAGCTGAGTAACCAACTGAGGCCATGGACGTTGAAAGTAGCAATATAATTGATGGCGATGGTATAATTTTGACTCTTAGAATTGAATTGGATGACTTACCAGATTGCGCACCAATAAAGGCCTCATTTGATGATGATTAGAATTGGATTGGATTAAATGACTCACTAGATTTAACGTATGTTAAAATAAGAAATATATGTCAACTCGAAATCTTCTCTAAACTGAAGGTAGAATATGAATTGTCGTGAAATTAAGAAACGTATCATTTCCACTCTGAAAGCATAAGAACATGCCATTGAGAGAACTTTAGGTCAAGTTGTCCGCTCCACTGACTTGTTGATATTATCGATATACTTCAATTATAGAGTTGCGTCGATATGCTTGTCAGACCATTTGAACTGACGAGATAAATACCACTAAATTAATAATTAATTAGATCAAAAGTAAATAACCACGTAACATCTTATTGTGAGGTTGAACAAGATACATGATCAAATGGTTTGACTTAAGACTTTTCAAATTAAAGCATAATCGCAGTCAAGAACTACGCATCTAATTAGCTTACTCTAATTTTCACTCTCTAGCCAATATTTCCAACAAGATTAGTGTTTTGATTTAAGCTATATAACTTGGTGCACAATCAAAAGTCAATCTTCCTAGTTTTCAATAGACTAAACGATTCCCTCTTATGTAGGTTGGTCAATGGAACATAGAGGTGCTCTGCTGCTTAGCAGTTTGAGTTGGAGGCAGATTATCTGCCCTCCTGTTTGGGTGCCCTTCCCATCCTCTTCTATTTTGTACGATCACGATTAAGACACGTCAACATTTTATATTAATTTTTTTTATAGAGATAATAAAACAAAAAGTAATAAGAATATAAAATGTTGACATAGCTTAACCGTGACCGCAGAAATAGAAGAGGATGAGAAAGGCATCCAAACAAGAGGGCAAACAATCTGCCTCTGTTTGAGTTTGAATATCTCTCTTCATAAAGTAAAATATTCTAATATATTAATTTTAAAAATAAAAGGACAAAAAAAAATCCCAATAATGCGCAAGAGGAAATTATACACTGTTGGAAGTCAAGGGCTGTATATATGGTACAAATATACGTATGCGAATCCAACTAATGAAGAAAAATAATGAGCTGTTTATCATGGGGTTTATTTTTCGTTTTATTTAAATTGTACAGGCTAATCAACATCAAAAGACCGTACATCAAGTGTCATAAAATACAATTGGTTGGAATTTTTTTTTCTTCAAGTTTCTAACTAATTATATTATGACACTTGTTGTAACAAGCCGTGTTTCTGGCATAGTGAAACATCTCTCGTGAATGGAATAAGGAAGCAAAATGGAGGTTAATAATTGTTCTAATCACCGTTCTGATATATAATAATTTGCAACTAGGAGGAGCAAAAGAGGTTCATATTTCAAAGGCAAGATTTGGAAACAACTACTAGACTAATTGGCATGGTTGATGTTGAGAGAACTTGAGAGTTAGTGGCCACCAAATCTGCCTTATTAGATGGAGATTTTGACCCTTTCTGTCCCCATTACTTGACCTTGCCTCAAATGTTATGTTTGGAACATTATTATAAACCTCCACTTGGATTATGGACTTTTTAGGAGCATTTGCTAATTGATTGTTGTAAATCATAGTTTGACACGATTGTATGTTTCAAATGAACTATTGCTGTACATATAAACTTGACAAGATTGTACACAACATAAATTCACACGAAAAATTACTGTTTTGAGCTTGGGTGGATCCGTTCGGATTGATACAATTGAATCTGTTTAGATAATTTTTCGGCTCATGTCAAATTGCAGGTCACTCACTAGTTAAACTTGTAAGAGTAAGAACAGTTTCAGTAACTATGGATGATAATTGATATGCGTGGTTTGTACCATGTAGTGTTATTTGCTTTCTTTTTCATAAGCGTGTAGTCAAAACCATGGATTTAAAAGAGTTCTCAAACCACCCGTTAACAAACCGTTAACAAGCAGTTCGATTTTGGGTTGACATTCTCCACCAGTTAGCAGAACGGTTCTTGTTGGCACCAGGCCTCACGTGAAGAAGAGGGTAAGCATGTGTTTTGGCCCAATTTGAAGCCCAAAACTCCAGATTTGTGCCAGCCCTGAGGAATGGTGGCACCTTGTTTGGCATACTAGAGCCAATCCCAAGCATGCTTTCATTACTTGGTTGGTAATAAGGATTTATTAACTACCGCAGATTAACTACATAGAGTTTCAGAGAAAACATCGAGTTTTGTTTTCCCTCACCACTCTACGGAAGAGACCGTCTCTTCAAAGATTGCAGTCTTACCAGAGGGGTTTCGTGTCAGCTGCTGCAGGAGTCCTGCGGCACTAGTTCAAGTTGATATGCAAGTGGGAGAGACCGGCAGACTGAGCTTTGATTGTAATCCTCAAGTTAGTAACTTGCCAAAAACTCACAGCCTCCAATAGTATCTGTCACACTGACATAAATAAATATATCCAAAGGTTGTGCAAGGGGTTATTCGTGTTACAGTACAAGGATAAATCACGAACCCATAAAATATCAAAATATGGTATCCTCATTATCGAACACATTTTGAAAGGTTAGAAAGACAAAGAAGTTGTAAAAAGTTCATCTCTCGTTGTATTATCTCAAGATCCTTGTGGCATCCTCATCAGCCATGATTCTAGCAGCAAAATCACCATACTTCTCCAAGAAGCTCTCAACTGTGCGAATATAGCTTATATGTTATACCTATAAACCCTAAAGCAGCCATATCCTGCAAGCACAATCTTACTGCATATCAACTTATTTCTTGTAAAGAAGATTACTTGTAGGAGGACAATAAACAGCATGCATTTTTCGAGCCAATTCTACGGACTAGTATGAACTTCGACATGAATAATGATAATTATTGTATCCAACAATCGGCTTGAATTACCATAGAAGCGTTGCCCACGAGCTCGCTTTGAAGCTTTATTACTTTCTCTTCTGCATGCGTCCCTTTCTAAAGGAATAATATAAACGAAAGATCAAATAAAGTAACAAGTAGGAGACATGAAAATTTGTTGAATAAATTTCATACAATTGATTTCACAGCGTTATAGACAGAAGAAACAGCAAAAATTAGAAGCTCATAAAGAAGTGATTCCAAGCCAAAAAGACTACACGCTTTGCGATGGTCATTGGGGGGTGGGGTGAGAAAGTTTATTGTACGCAACTTTATCTTGCTTTGCAAAGAGGCAGCTTTCACAACTTGAACCTGTGACCTTTTACCCACAAAGGGGAAACATTTATGTTGTGCTAAGGTTCGTCCTTTACACCCTGAATATGGTCGGTTATCCATTCCAATCCAATCTTAGAGACCAAACTAGATCAAAAGTGCAATGGAAATGGGCATATGCATTACATGATGAAACACCATTGGCCACAACATTAGTGAATCTGTGTCATAAAAAAATTCAATCTTTATTTGAGTGGAGTTTTTTCTAAATACTAAAGCACATAAATTTTCAATTCCTTTCCAAAATTCCAACAGATGCGAGAAGAAAAACAAAAGGGCAATGCCAAATCAAGAATTCTCTTGTGTTTTGTAAACACAGAAAAAATAATTCTAATTTTTGAAATCTCCTACGCTTACTAACGTAGAAATAAACAAAAAAACATGTGGCTCCAACACTAAAATATGTAATCCAAATCATAAAAAATAAATAATTAAATTGATTATGAGATTAACTGTTTTCATTCTCGTTTTTTCTCTGCCCTTCTTCTGATTTTCTCGATTACATATTAGTGAACAAGCAATAAAACAAATGGTATTTTGTTCCGATTTTAACGATTACATATTAGTAAACGAGCAATAAAGCAAATAGTATTTTAGCTTACCATATCTAGTGAAGGAGAATTTCTAAAATAGGGAAACCTGATCACACGTGTCCTCTACAACCCACTAATTAAAAACTTCCTCTACCCAACCTCATGATTTGTCAGGCTTACAATTTCCCAAATTTTGGTCTCACACAGCTCTAACAAATGCTTTGTCTGGGTTCCGAACAGAAGAATCTCTCGTAACAAAAAGCTCATCTCAATTGGACCGGATCCCTTTTTATCTGAGCTTAGTGACTACACAATTTAGATCTTTGAAATTTAATTTAACGATTAAAAACAGGAAATTCCATTAAAAGTTATAATAACTTAAACCGTTGGATCAAATTTCAAGGACTAGAATTGTGTGGTCATAGGCTTTGATCCATCTCAGCTTTCTTCTCAAAACTTGTATCACACATGTCCACCAATCATTGGACCATGAGAGGCCAGCTCATCCGGTTGCAAAGGCTAGAGACTAGTGGTGTCCACAGAGGAACAGAAGCCCCTCCGACCACTATTTCACAGAGGATAAAACGGCCAACCATCCATCCCCATAGCTATGACCGTTTCCCTCCTTCCCTGACTCCCTCTCTTTCCTCAAGTTAAACAAAAACACAATCCCAAAATTCCCAAAATCTTTAATTTCTCTCGCATTTATAAAATGGAAAATCAAAAATTGGATTTTCCTAATTCTAGTTTCGTTTTGTTCCACAATTTTCTCTCCCATTTTCTCTTCACACCTTCTCCTCCTCCTGATTCCGGGCCTGTGTGGTGGTCCACCCAAGAACCAGCTCATTCCCCTTCTCAATTCCCACCAATTCCCACCATTTCCCATTCCCTTTCCAACCCATGACTCCTTCTTTCGTTTTCTCTCCATTTTTCAATAAAGATTTTGTCTTCCTTTGACAGTTGCTTGGGGAACAAACAATCCCTGCTTCAAAGGGATAAAGATTGCAGCTTTATCGGTTTTCATTGCCGCATTGAGTTTCTGGTGGGTTCTGCATTCGCTGCACTCTTTTGTTTTAGATGGGTTTCTTTTATTTTTGCTGGGTTTCTTTTGTTGCAGACGGGTTTCTTTTTTGTTTTTGCGTTTGCATTGATTTATATTTGCTTAGTGTTTTTGTTCTTTGATTTTGTTGCTTAGTTTATCTGTGTGGATATGACTAGTTCTAATTTGATTTATTTAATGCAGTTTTAATTTCTGTATATTGACTTTGGTTTATGCGTCTCTGTCTCCTACGAGCCCACTACATACTGGTTTTGATTTTTGATTTTATTATGCTTTGATTTAGATATGCATACAAAGAATGTATGTTCTTTGACCATAAATAAGTAGAATATATTGTTGCTTGTAGCAGAGGATTTTTATTCTTTTAATGGTGATTGTTACCAACAAGATCATAAATTGTGCTCCTTGCTCCTCCTGAGGATGTCAGTTTAAAGGGTTTTGTAATTGGATGGTTAGGGTTAGGTTTTGTTTGGTAGATGATCTTTTGATGAGTGTAGTATACTTTTACGTGCTGAAGACTGCGGATGTTTGTGACTGTAGGTTAAATCGACATTATCTTGTGCAACAAGTAATGGTTTTTTTTTTTTTTGTTTTTTTTTGTTTTTTGTTTTTTTTTTGTGACGATATGATCAGGAATTACCTTTAAGGGGTGTTGTCGTTGTTACCCCAATCATGTCTTCAAATCCATCCAATTTTTCTGACTCTTCCGAGGTAAGCGCTCCATATTGATTATATTGATTCTTGTCATGCATTTTTGTTCTGTAAAGGTGTTAATCTAGCAATATTTATGTCTTAAAATTCTTTCTTGCTCTAATGCAGATGAGCTATAGCTCATCAGAAGAAGCACAGTGTGGAACCAAGATGGAATTTCAGGTCAAGAGTGGTGCCAATTCATCGAATGATAAGGTTAACTGCCCCAAAAATGTGGATAGAATAGGAAAGTTTAATGCCAGTTCAACTAATAATCCATCAGGTGGACCTCAGAAAGTGGATCGAGTTTCCAAAGGAACAGAACTCAGTACTAAGACTACGGCTGAGACAACCACCAACAATCGTCCATTTCCAAGCCCAATGGCACCTGCAAATTCTGAACTTCTAACCACTTCAACAGGAAGGGCTACAGGAGGTATGAAAAGTAGCAATTCTGTCACCAACCTTACCCAAATGAGCGGCAGTAGCTCCCGCTCTGACAGCTTAGAGAGCTCCTCCAGTACACCCCTCAGGCCTCATACTGGTGGTGATGTGCGGTGGGATGCCATTAACATGGTCTCTAAAGGTTCCCCACTTAATCTTAGCCATTTTCGGCTTCTCAAGCGCCTAGGATATGGAGATATTGGCAGTGTCTATCTTGTTGAACTCAGAGGAACAAACACGTTTTTTGCCATGAAGGTCATGGACAAGGCATCTCTTGCTAGTAGAAACAAGCTGTTGCGAGCACAGACAGAAAGAGAGATACTTGGACTTCTTGACCACCCATTCTTGCCCACTCTCTATTCTTACTTTGAAACTGATAAGTTCTATTGCTTGGTCATGGAGTACTGTAGTGGAGGTAATCTACACTCTCTTCGGCAGAAGCAACCAAACAAGCATTTTACAGAGGAAGCTTCACGGTTAGTACCTTTCCAGTTCTTCAGATTGCATAATATTTAGTTAATTATTGATTGTGATGAACTTTTAATATGTATTTGATCTTTGATCTGTACTATTAAATTTCCTTACAAGCATGATTAATGAGGTTTGTCTTGGAAATACTAGTTTGATGCTTCAATTCACTGCTTAAGTTGCACAGTTAGAGTACCTTTCTTACATTTTAAGGGATGTAGATGTCATGTTTAATTTTTTTTTAGATGCAAGAGTTATTTCATTGAAAGTTGGATACATAACGTAGATTAAAGGTCTCTTTCATTTCCGTGTTTATGGACAATGGCACGGAAAAGAATGGTTCTTGCCAGGTGCAGAACTGCATATGTTATATGCTGACTGATAGAATTCTTTTATCAAAGCATGATGAAAGTTTAGCCGTTTAGATTGGGCAAGATGTTTCTTACTTTTTATCCTTTGGCAGGTTTTATGCATCACAGGTTTTGTTAGCACTTGAGTATCTGCACATGCTAGGAATTGTGTACAGGGATTTAAAACCAGAAAATGTTCTAGTAAGAGACGAGGGTCATATCATGCTCTCAGACTTCGATCTCTCACTCCGTTGTTCTGTCAATCCTACACTAGTCAAGTCTTCATCTGCCCATGTAAGCAATGGTGGTGCTACCGGTGGTGGTGGTGGTGGCGGGGGCATTTTAGACGATGACCTTGCTGTGCATGGTTGTATGCAGCCTTCCAATTTCTTTCCACGCATTTTACCTACCAAGAAAAACCGGAAATCCAAATCAGATTTTGGCCTTTCAGCGAATGGATCCCTCCCTGAACTGATGGCAGAGCCTACAAATGTGCGTTCCATGTCATTTGTTGGAACACACGAATATCTAGCCCCAGAGATTATTCGCGGAGAGGGCCATGGTAGTGCAGTGGACTGGTGGACATTTGGTATCTTCATATACGAGCTCTTACATGGGACAACCCCCTTCAAAGGTCAAGGAAATCGTGCCACACTCTTCAACGTTGTAGGCCAGCCTCTGAAATTCCCAGAAACACCACCAGTAAGTGTTGTGGCACGTAATCTCATACGAGGACTCTTGGTGAAAGAACCACATAAACGAATTGCGTACAAAAGGGGTGCCACAGAAATAAAGCAACACCCATTTTTCGAGGGAGTGAACTGGGCTCTGGTGAGATGTGCCACGCCTCCCCATGTTCCTGAACCGGTAGACTTTTCACAATATGCCAGCAAGGAGGCGAACTCTGCAGACAAAAAGATGACAGACGTGGGAAGTGATAAGAAGAACGGTAGTAATGATTCATCTTATGTAAATTTTGAGTACTTCTAGCACTCCTTTAGGAAGATATTTTACTTTCTCGGGAGGAAAACTACATTGTACAAAGAGCAAAACGTTGCAACCCAATGAGATATATACTTATCATTACATGTTGAGGGTTTCACAGAGAAAACATTTGTTGACAGAATACTATTGATTTCTTTCTAGGCAAGGGGAAATAAAAACACATATATAGGGATGGAAATTGCATTTAAAGTTTTGTGTGTCATTCTTTCACGTGTATATGTTTCGATTTCTGTTTAAGGATTTGTCGATGTGTACTACATTGTATATGATTTGTATCTGGTCTGGTGTAACATACTGTCAAATTGTTCAAAGTAGGACTAATACTTGTTCTGTTGCTTAGGAATTTCGTGTTGATTATGGAACTCCTCAGGCTGAATTGAAAAGTAGATTGTGTTAATGATACAACTCCTGGATATTGTATGCTGTCATAGTAAACTTGTTTAGAATTTGTATGGGGAGATAGCAGTACTGTCTTGTATAATATTCTCTACCCTTGACTTGTTTAGGCATCTCCTTGCACTTGGTAAAGATGCCTACTTGAGCAGGCCTTTGGGACTGCAAAATGGGTTTATTCTGAAACCCAAAGTGAATATTCGAAATATAAAATACTAAAAACACGCGACACTCTAATACCATGAAATTAAAGTTCCACTTTAAAATTAATCGACAATAAGAGAGTAACACAACTCCTCATAAGTCGATTCATAACTTATACGCTTTCCAACATGAGACAACTATTCACATTGATGAGGTATGAAGAAAAATTCTAACGACAACCATGAGGCCACCCCGGTACAACGAGAAATATTAAGAAGACCCACCATGCATGACTAGGGACTTTCTTGATTGCTCCAAAGTACATAGTACTCCAGATGTTTTAATTGTTAGATCTTTATTTAAAAGTATAAAAATCAAGATCGAACAGTTAAAACACCTGGAGTATGGTGCTTTAGAGCACCCTAGAAACTTTGTGCATGACTATACATAACACAACTCAAGGCACTAAAAGGTATACTAACTAGCTATTAATCTAGTGATAGAAAAACCTCTCTCTCTAAAACCTTTCTTTCCCTTTGCCTTCAGGAAAAAAGAAACCCTCCTAGTTGCTGCTCCTTGCTCCGGCTTGAGGTTGGCAGCAGCCTGACTCCCACCTCTTTTTAGCCTTCCTTCCCTCTTCCTCTTCCTTCTCCACCCTCTGCAGCTTCCCTCGTTCCCCATTTTCCCCCATCCTTCCCACCTTTTTCTAGCCCTTCTTCCTTCTTTCCCATCCATCTCTACTCTTTGCATCTTCCCTCTTCCCCCTTCTTTCCTTCATCCTTCCCCCATCTTTCCACTCAAAAAGTTTTTTTTTTAATTTCAGCACTTTTTCTCTTTTGATCTTTGTTTTGGCTTCCTTTGAGCTTTGTTCTTTGAACTTTGTCTCAATTCCCATGAGCTGGTCTCATATCTGGACCTCCATGGCCTTTTCCTGCTTCGATGCTATTGTACGTCGCGCATCCTCAACCACCGGCCTCTGCTACTCAGCATGTGTGCTTCTCCTCAGGTATTGAGTGGCTGTTAAAGTGCTTTTAACACTATTTGGTAGGATTATGGGAGCGCTCACTGCGCAGATGGCTCGCTCACCCCTATTTTCCGTTGATCCAGTTGTTCCGTTGGTTTGTCCTCCTGGTGGTGGTGGCCTTGCGATGGAGGGACATATGATGGCTGCTGGTTTCCATTTTAGTCTTAGGATTTTTTTGTTGTTGTTTAGCTGGCCACTTTGGGCCTATCCACTGTATTTTCTTGTTTGTTGTTGGGCTTGTATTTGGGTAGTGAGCTGCCTTTTCCTCGTACTTGTCTTTTTAATTAATGGAAGTAATTAGTTTGATAAAAAAAAAAAAGGGTTTGTGTTAAAAACGTCTCAACTTCAAACTCCCACGTTGCGTTAGCAAGAGATTGGAAAACATGATTGAGTATTGTAAGTTCGATGAAATATGTAAAATTAGTTGGACAGAAAATAAAATATTTCAAAAGAAACGCACGTGTAAATAAAAAGTTTTTTTTATTAAAAAATAAATAAATAGAATAGTAAAAATGTCAGGGTGCTCCTTGTTAATGTGAAGAGATCATTTCCGGATCTTTTCCACCAAAATCATCAAGTCCACTCATCCGAGCTCTTAAAATTTGATCCAACGGCTACAAACAGGGCTCTGTAAAAGTTATAATAATTTTAACTGTTGAATCAAATTTCAAGGATCCGAGTGAATGAACTTGTGGTTCTGGTGGGAGATATCCGGAGAGGATCTCTTCCCCTCGTAAATCCAAATGAATGACAGTGAGTGAGCAATTGTTGACACGCCCTTCTGAGACCTCACTACTTTCAATCTGAACGAGAAATACAACGTTTTTGTCATCACGCACTCTCATTTCTCAGTTCCCATTTCAGCCTCCGACCTTTCAATTTCAATAAGTAGACAACAAATATACACTTTTCTTCACTGATTCTATTTTCTCTCGCCAAAGCCGAAAGCTTTCGAAGCAAAAAGCACGAAACTTTGATCTGTTTTGGTGTCAGGGGAGAAATGGAGGCGTTCGATAAGATAAAGGTGACCAACCCAATTGTCGAAATGGACGGTACGATTTCTCTCCACTCCCATCTGATTCTCTGATTTCTATTTTCCGCCATTGTTTTGTTGCGAACTCTTGTTTAAATTAAGCTGCTCAAAAATGGCATGTTTCTCTGCTTTTTTGAATGCTTGAATCAATCTGGAAAATATGGATGGATAGACATTATACAAATTATCAAAGTGGTGTTTTTGGATGATCCCATTGATCAGAGCATGCCCTTCAATCCATGTTTTAAGGACACCCCAACTATCATGCTCCATAAAAGTAGATGATGTTAGAATTACAGGATTTTGGTCAATTTGGCTTTCTTGCCTTACCCACCAGTCCACTACTATGATGTTTCTGAGCTCATAGATTTAAATGATTAAACTTCTTTTTTGTTCGTTTGAGCCGAATTGCGTGCAAATTATCTTATTAAGAAGGTAAGGACATAGATGCAATGCAACATCTGAATTGAATTGTATGTATCTTTGCCGGAGGCTTGGAGCTGTACTGATACAGATTTATTCAACTTTTTGTTATCTATGTTTAAGCTATGATGCATTATTTTCCGTGATGCAGGAGATGAAATGACTCGGGTGTTCTCGACATGGATAAAAGACAAGGTAATTTGTTATCATGTGTTCCCTGTGATTTCATAGAGTTGTTGATGAATCTGCAACTTGTTTTCGTGTTCCACAGCTTATTTTTCCCTTCCTGGAGTTGGATATCAAGTACTTCGACCTTGGGATTCTTAATCGCGATGCCACCAATGATAGAGTCACAGTTGAAAGTGCCGAAGCTACTCTTAAGTGTGCCCTATCATTCGCCCTTCACAGTTGCTTTGCTATACTCAACTACCCTTCATGAACATTACTGTTTTTCTTCCCTTCATTTTAGTTGTTGCTGCTTTCTTTTTCCTTTTTTACTGGCATGAGTTTTGGCATGTTTAAATGAGCTCGACATGAGTTTGTCATATACTTTTGAACGGAATGACAAGTCAAATTGTTTGTGTTAGGCACAATTTGTCATATTCTATTGAAACAATTATCATCTTTATTGAAACTAATTTTTTTCATGAAAATTACTTTATCACCTGTTGATTCCTTTATTTTCGTTGTATAAATTTGCTTCCTGTTTTTGCTTGTTATCGTAGGTACAATGTAGCAATAAAGTGTGCAACTATAACTCCAGGTATTATATAGATTCTTAAATTTAGAGACAATGTTCATGTCTCCTTAATAAATGGACTACTTGGCCCTTTTTCATGGACACGATTTGGCTAACATACTATTGTGATGATCTGGATCATTTAATTGGATATTTATAGATGAAACTCGTGTGAAGGAGTTCAACTTGAAACAGATGTGGAGGAGTCCAAATGGGACCATACGGAACATTTTAAATGGTCAATTGAATACTCCCTCAATATTTAGTATTTACCATTGTATATTCTGTGTTTGACCGATTGTAAGTAGCCAGTGCATTTTGGTGTTATGTAGGTACTGTTTTTAGAGAACCTATTCTGCAGAAATGTTCCCCGTCTTGTTCCAGGTTTGCTACAAGTTTGTCATCTAAATTTGCCTTTGTATCATTGTCAAAAGAACTATAAGTTAGTGTTCATTTCAGGTTGGACAATGCCAATATGCATTGGGAGACATGCTTTTGGTGTTCAGTACCAAGCAACTGATGCAATCATAGAAGGACCTGGAAAACTTAAATTGGTTTTTGGTAATTCAGTAGAGAGCTTCAAGTAGCCGACATTCACCTCTCCCAGACCCTGCGTAAAGCGGGAGCCTTGTGCACTGGGTACGACCTTTTTTTTTTTAGTAGAGAGCTTCAAGATTTCTGAGTTTGACTTCTGACTGTTTAAAGTGCTTGTATAGAAGTTAATCTGGTGCGCTTTTCTTACACACACACACACACCATATAGGTACGTTATTATCTTACCAATTGCTTTGCAGTACCTGATGGGCCCTATGAGAAGACAGAGTGTGAGGTTTACAAATTTACTGGTGCTGGAGGCATAGCATTGTCCATGTATAAGACGGATGAAGTTCAAATTTCCGTTTAAGCAGAAATAAAATGTTCTGGTAAACTGGTTACCTCTGTAAATGATTTAACAACTATTTTTATTCTGCTTAAATTGTGAGAGCAGTCTATCCGTGCTTTTGCTGAGGCTTCCATGAACACTGCCTACCAGAAAAAGTGGCCACTTTATCTTAGCGCTAAAAATACTACTCTGAAGAAATATGATGGAAGGTATGATGTTATCCTGTTGTCTTTCATCTTTCACTGTGCAGTCTTTTCTTTTCATAATTACCCATGGTACATTATGAGTCGGTGTGACTATGATGTAACGTTTCACTACAGGATTTTTATTGCCATTTTCTTACTCTTGAATTTAATGAAGGTTCAAGGACATCGTCCAGGAAGCTTATGAAGCTCATTGGAGATCAAGATATGAAGCTGCAGGGATTTGGACAGATAACTTGTCATCCAAGCTGATTAGTTTGTGTAGGTCCGGTGATTTTCAACTAATTAGTACTCTGATTTGAAGGTATGAGCATCGTCTTATTGACGACATGGTTGCTTATGCTCTCAAAAGTGAAGGAGGTTATGTTTGGGCATGCAAAAATTATGATGGGGATGTGCAAAGTGACTTCTTAGCCCAAGGTCTGTATTTACTTTTGTTAGTCTGTGAGTTAGTATTCAACTATTTCTCTTTTTAACATGTGGTGCTGCGTTTGTTGGAAGCAAATGCTATTTCCTTGACTGTCCTAGCGAATGTGTTTGCTAATGTTTGGTTACCTTTCAATAAACTTTGATACAGGTTTTGGATCTCTGGGGCTGATGACATTTATACTGGTAATTAATTTTGTCTAATATTTCGCTATGCTTGTTGGGGTACAGTTATGAGTTTGGATGTATGAAAACTTGGATTTGGTTCCAGGTGTGCCGAGATGGAAAGACCATCGAAGCTGAAGCAGCCCATGGTACAGTAACCTGCCATTACACGGTCCACCAGAAAGGAGGCGAAACAAGCACAAACAGTATAGCTTCGATCTTTGCATGGTCACGAGGTCTTGCACACAGGTACTAGCTCAGTATGTAGTCTGGTGGTTGAAAGTCAGTATTTGGAATTTGCTTCTGTTTAGAAATTGTTTGAAACATTAGATAATAGTTTGAGTAAACCTGTGTTATCGTATCAGGGCAAAGTTAGATGGCAATGCCAGACTCTTAGATTTTACAGAGAAACTTGAAGCATCTTGCGTAGGAACTGTCGAATCTGGGAAGATGACCAAGGATATTGCACTCCTCATCCAAGGGGCCTAAGTAACCGGAAATAATTAGTCTCAACAAGCAAAAAAAGGTGATTGTAGGATGAGGAGTCCGGCAAAGCAGCACGCCGAGGTTAGGTAGTTTTCATCTGCGAAACCCCATCGGGGGGTCTCAGTCGATTCAAACTGTGTTTGCATTGTGTGTTTGTTTGTTTGCTACCCCGCTCGTAAGGGTGGGGTGCTCCTACTAACCCGAGGGGCTTAGGGCGTGCTTAAAGTGACTTCAGTGGTGAACAGATTTCAAACACCATGGCCTCGCTTGACCAAGATTCCATCACCCATCAATCGCTTTAATGCCCTGCTTAGTTACAAACCTGCGCTGCCAGGCTCGGCGATGTTGAAGTTTAATGCAATTCCTTATAAACAGTTGTGGCAACCAGGGTTTACCCGATGTGGGACTCAAAAGTCGTATTTCTTTAAAAGTTTAAATTGCTTGGATATTGTTTCCGTGCGATAAAAGTTTCATGTTTCATCTAGGATCACTAGGTCTCATTGTCATCTTCTGTTCTTTACTTGAGACCAAAACAAGAAACGGTTTGCACTTGCTGCCCAAGTCGATGGGTTAGGGCATGCTTCATGGGACGTCAGACACCAATTAGTGGTGTTTTTTTAGGAATGATGTTAAAATTAAGATAAAAACATTTAACGTCAGATTAAAAATCTTATTAGGTGTCTCGATTACAAGTAGAAATATCCTTAAACAACTGAGTTGCAAGCCTCTTATATTTAATTAAACCTTGAAAGTACATCAATCACCAACGACCATTTTGATTAATGGTACCGATCCTCCGATTTTGTTAGGAGGAGATTCTGAGTTTGAATCTCATCTAGATTTGATTCACATAATATAAGAAAAGATAAAATGAAACATACATCAATTTTGTTGGGACGAGCTGATGGTTTGAATTTCATAGGAAGTGATTTGTGACTCAAGTTTAAGAGAATTTCCGTTGCACCTGAAGTCCAAGGTTTGATTTCACCATCTCCTTACTCTAGCTTGTATATAAAAAATAAAAACAAAAAAATAGTTGATGAATTAAAAACACATATATGTATATGCATACGTTAATCTTTACTCTATTACGACTAAAGTTGAAAAAGACACTAATTGAGCGGCGGATAAGAGAGTTTGGCTGAACAACAAGCTAGGTAAGGTATTTTTCATCTGCAGAACATGGGCCATGGGCTCAACCAATCGATTTGTAGTTGTGCTTGTTTGCTATCTACTCATAATGAATGGAGTGTCACTAACCTGAGTAGCTTAGGACGTGCTTAATGTGATCTCACACACTAACAGGTGGTGAGCAAATTTCAAACATCATATACCCACTTTGCCAAGGCTCGACCACACGTCAATCACTTTAGTATCCTGCTTAATTACAAGTCAACGCTAAATATTTAAGACTTAATCCGATGTGGGACTCCAACATTTTTTTCGTTACAATGATGTTTCCGTGGGGAAAATACCCGTCACTTTAAAAGTAGCATCATTAACCACTCTGTTTTATTATTTGGCACCAACCTTGCATCATGGAACACAACTAACAAGATTTATATTTCTTAGGTAATTTTTCTTTATCGGTTTCGAATTTGCTTAAACATCAAACATACATCCATTTTCGTATAAGAAAAACACATACATCAATCCTTCGTACCAAAAAAATACATACATCAATCGCCAATGACCCACTTGGATTAGTAGTAGTCTTCGATATTGTCCGAGGAGATCATGAGTTTAAATCTCATGAACAGTCAGACTGATAAATTAACACATGTATACATACACGACAATCTTTACTATAGTACAAAACCACAAAATTTGAAGGTGACGGCAGCTTGGCATTGCCATCATCTTCTTTCAGGTCAAGTTTTTTCCTTAGTCACAGTAGCAAATTTCTCCACTGTTTTGGCACTTCATCCATCCTGCGATTTGCTGTGTATAGCTTATGTAGAAACGGACCTGCAAACAAGTACATCGCAAAGTTCAGATTTTTTTTCGACTATTCTTTCTTGACGTCTTAAAAAAATATACAGACCAGAAACAGTGAGCTAGGCACTGCTATGAACAGAAAGCAAAAGGCAAATCCCGATACGGATCAAAGAAAATATCTATGATTCATGTATAATAAGTATACTACACTGATAGTACAGTACGGAAATAATTTAAACCCCATAAAGAGGTTTACTGAACTTTGTTAAAATGGTCTGGTGGTAGAACGCCTACTGCCGCACTCATGGCTAGTGTTCAACTCTCACGTTCCCATTCTAAATATTTTAAGATAAAAAAGAGGAAAGCCGAACTCTAGTCATGTAATCAAGTGCCTTAGATGGATAAGATGAAGGCAGAAGACAAGCTAGCGAATACAATGACAAGAAAGATTCTCTTGTATGTTAGCGAGGAACGTATTATAGGAGCTTATATGCAAATTTATGTACGAAACTAGAAATGTGTATACTTTACAACTCTCATACTATGTAGTTTAATCATATGTAAATCTGTATTATACCTATACAAACAGTAGACTTCCAGCTGACTGACCAACAGAGCTTTCTTCTCCTCCAAGTGACTTCCAGTGCACAAGGCTCCTGCCAATGGATCCTGGGAGGGCTAGATGTATGCATATCCCTATTTCCACGACTGTTAAGTCACTTTGAGCACCACAGATCATCCATCGTACTGAAACAACAAAAGCTGTTCGGTATGCAATTTCAAAAGTTAGATTGGTGACACGAATCACAGAAACAAATATGACAGTTAAGTACAAACACTTTACAAATCTTATATGCTGAAGATTAATCATAGGCAAAGCCATAGTGTTACCTAGGCATAATTGACTTCCAGGTAACCTACAAACAAAGTTTTCTTCTTGGTTGCTGCTGTTGGGTCTGGGGAGGACTAAATGCATACATATCCCTGTTTCAGTGAGTACCAAGTCATTTTGGGCAAGCCATATCGTTTTTCCAGGGCACCACTTCAGCTGCAGAATAATTGCCATCCGTCAAAATAGAACAACAAAAAGCTGTGCATTATGCAAATCAATACAATTATACACATTACTTAATAGAAAACTTACCATGCTATGCCGTTAGGACTTCATTGATTCACAGATCATGGGTCTATCCAGGCATTGATAATCAAAGAGAGTTCTTACTTCCGAAACTGCACTTTCGTGGCTTTTAGGATTCCATGTTGTAGAATCGCAAGTATCCGGGCATTTGGCAGCATTCCCTTAGAGGACATCTCATTAGCGAGTGTTACAGCCCTATCCACATCTCCCCTCCTACAACAGCCAGCCAGAAGTGCTGTGTATGTCACTGTATCAGGCTCTAATCCTCTGTTCATCATTTCATCAAAAAGCGCAATAGCATCCTGAAAGTTGTCAGTTTTACATTGCCTGTCTATCAAAACAGTATAACAAATTACATCGGGTCTTATTTCCATTTCCTTCATCTCACTCCAAACAGTACAAGCATCAAAAGTTTCTTCCTTATCTCCACTTGCATCTCGAGAGGAATTAACCCTTCTTACGTTTCTTTTGGGAAAACTATCGAGCAAAACTGTGTAAGTGATGATATCAGGTTGAATCCCTCTCTTTTTCATATCATGGAAGAGATCACGGGCTTCTTGCAAACAATCCACCTTGCAGTAGCTATTCATCATCATTGTGTAGGTAATCACATCAGGAGTTAACCCTCTCTCAACCAAAGAATCAAAAACCCAACGGGCCTTTTTCACCTCTCCAGCCTGGCAGAGAGAAGCAATGACTTTGTTGTACATAATTCTTTTAGGATCCACATTTAACGCCAACATTGCCTCAAGCAACAAAATAGCTCTGTCATTATCACCTTCTACACAAAGTTTACTGAGTACTTTAAAGCAAACGCCTTGTTTAACTAAAGTTCCTTGCTTTGCCAACCTAATAAGAAGTTCATACGCCTCTTTTGTATGGTTGGCTTCACAGTACCCGCTGACCATGGCAGAATAGGTATCTACATTCTTATATTCCAAACTGTTTAGAAAACCTTCAGCTTCTTTGACTTTTCCTCCTATGCATAAATTTTCAATTATCATGTTGTGTGTAACAGAGTCTGGTTTAAAACCATGTGCCTCCATATAATCCAAAAGGTCAAGCGCCTTGGCTCCCAGGCCATTTCTACAAAACCCAGCAGCAAGTACATTGTAAGTAGTGATGTCTGGCTTCAGACCCTTTTCCTTCATTTCCTTCAACAGACTTACGGCCTCAACAACATTCCCTTGGAGACAGTAGCCTTTGATCAATGTTGTGTAATGCATAATATCTAAAACCATATGCTTACACTTCATCTCTTCAAGAAATTCTAAGGCTTGGTCCATTTTCCCCAGCTTGCACGAAGCATCCACTGCGATATTGTACGAAACCTCATCAAGATAGATACCTAAGCTCTTATATTCTCTAAACTGATCCACCGCTTCAGAAGGCATGCCCATCTTACACATACACTGAAGAATCAAACTAACAATCACACAATTTGTTTTTATACCCTTTGACTCCATGTCATTATGGAGAGCCAAAGCTTTTAACAACTTGGAACTCTTGCAGTAGCCACAGATCATTGCACTGTAGGTATATGAATCAGGGACCAGCCCTCGCTTTTCCATGTCAAGAAAGACGCTTTCAGCTTCATCAAACTTCATCTCGTTGCAGAACCCACGAATGACAGCGTTATAAGCATACACATCGATAAGGACATTTTCCCCATTGCATGATTGGAGCACTTGGTACCCTAAATCCGGCCTGTGATTGGTGCAAAGCCCTTCAATATATGCTGTGTAGGCAAAGGCGCTAGGGGTTACCCCAGCTTCCTCCATCTCCTGAAACACTTCCACTGCCTCTTCCAAACTACCTTTCTTGCAGAGTCCCTTGATGATAATTGCGTAAGTGTAATCATTAGGGTTCAAACCAATCCGCTTCAACTGCTTATATACAGCCACAGCCATATCCACTTTACCATGCTCAACCAAGCGGTTCATTAGAAAATTGCTAGTAAAGATATGTGGCACAAACCCACGCCTTTTTGTCTGAAATAAAACATCAATAGCCTCATCGAACATGTTCAAACTGACAAAAGACTTGAGCAATGCATCATAAGCTCGGACTGTCGATGGGGAAACCTCAATCCCCTCCCCAATCGCTTCCATCAAATCCGAAAACTCAAATTCAAGGTCTTTAGAGCAATTAATAAGGTCCACAAAGAGAGAATCCAACTTCCTATCCAGACCCCAATAGCACAAAATTCTAATAAGCGCAGAATACGTGTAGACATTGTGTCGAAAGCCATCTCCTTTCACCCGGTGAAAGAATGAAATCGCCAAATTGGGTTCGTTTCTTAGACTGTTGAGGTTGTTAACAACCCCTGAGGTATCTAATTCGGAGAAGAAATGGGTTCTATTGGCAGCATTGGTGCCTGCGTTTGTGGTGCAGACACTGAAAGAATTATCATCAGACGATTCATCAGAGTGGGAGGAACTGGAGTTCCAGAGGGCAAGTGCTGCCTGGGAAGACGCCCACTTGAAAGCACCAACACCGCCACCGCCGCCATGGACGAAGATCGAACGGCTGCGATTGTTTTGTGTTGGGTGAATGCGTTTTCTGGGAAAACCCAGTCTAATGGACGAAAGCCACATACACATGGAAGACTTTCAGATTCATTGCAGCAACGACGCCTTCATGAATTTCCAATTGCAGAAGAACCAAAAGGGGAAAAGAGAGAGAGGACTTACTTGGGATTCACCATTGAAGCCTTACTTTCGAAGTTTTGTTTTTGATCATGGATACTGAGTCACCGAATCACCAATAAAAAATGGAGGGTGAGTTACTGACTCGGAGGTTTTGGACGATTTCTTGTGAGCAGAGATTAAAGCTTGTTTTCTGCTAAAACCTAAAACCCTACCAAAGTACCAACTTCAAGTTCCGCTTTCGGTTAACCCCGCCCACGTAATCCGGGTCGGTCCAAAGGGCCCGTTAACCTCTTCATGAATCCCAAAGGAACCCACCACCATGCTTTATAGCAAACGAAGCCACCTCGTGAGCAGCAACGTTACCTTCCCGCGGAATGAACCCGAACATATTTTTTTTATTTTTAAACAAACGATATTATCTAAACTAATGGGGAGGAGGTGGGCTTAGCCTCATAATTGGCTAGCAATAATGTAGTTCGAATTTGTCTTTGATGAAAATTGAACTTAAGACCTCTCACTTGCAAGTGAAAAATAATATTAATATACCGTAGTACTAAGTGAAGAGAACCCGAACTTAACAATATCAAAATGCGCATAGCTAAAGAATCATCAAATAACACCCCTTCTAATATTGCAACTTGTTCCATTTGTCTATTAATCATACGAATCAACGATTGGGAATCGGACATCAATTTATATGATATGGTATGGATTTATCATTATTATGGCGTCTCGTGCTAATCGTATAATGTCAAAAAAAATTATATGTGATTTTATAATTAGCACTATTAACGTTTAAAATTGGAAGGTCAACAAAAATCAGTATGGTCAACTTTTGTTGGGCCCAAAATATAAATCTAAGTTATGAACAAAATGTGGTAAGTGGTTCACCTCTAAAAATAGGCTACGTTCAATGTTGTCTCGTTGACAGGTACTCGACCCTTTTATGTAGGCTCTAAGTGAGCTCCACAAGTACTAGGTCCTTAGTTCTATCATGTCCTATCATTTAATAGGCCAAACACGTATATACGACTTACATGATATTCCTCATTATCCACACAACACGTGGAGAGGAACTAACGTCTGCTCATAGCTAATTGCATAGTTTTGCGGATTGGCATGTACCCACTGTTCCAAAAATTCCCGCCTAGGAGTTAGGCGGCTGGCCACCACCTGATTAATCCCTAGGCGTTTGAAAATTAAGAAATTGCACCTAGCCCTGCTAAGGCCCCGCGTAGACTGCCTAGGCACCCACCCATGCTTGCCTAGGTACCCGCCTAGGTCGGGACTCTCTAATACTTTATAATTTTTATGTCCTTCTGTTATGCATTATGTGTCTCAATGAAATTATGTATTTTTAAGTATAAATGTCTTATATATACAATATTTTAATGAATTTACTTAAATTATAGTCCGCCTAGACCCTTGTATGCCACTTGACTAGCACATAGTGTCTTGTACTTAGAACTCAGAGATATGTGAGAGTTGGTGAGGTATGAGGTGTTGTCTATGTTCTTTACTACTAGCTTCTTGAGACAAAACTTCTCCCTCATCTGATGTGAGTAACGAAACTGCACCCCAACAGGCGAGTAGCAAAGAGCACAGATTAAAAAGAAGCCGGTTGTACAAATTGGTTTCCAAAACAATGGCATATTGGAGAAATTGTTTAGATAGGGTTGTTCCGTGCTCTTGTCCGAAGCTCACAGTGTCTGAAACTATGATGAGTGTGATGTCGTACCAGGCAGACACCGTACCCAAAATTTTCTTGTTATTATAAAGAGGTAAGTTCACAGTTACAAAGACATTTTGTATTACTCAATATTTCTAATCTAATTATTTTAATAGATTTACTATATTTTAGGGTTTAGGGTGTAGGTGAAATAGTGGAACGGTCTATTCCAGGTGAAATAGTGGCAACGGAGGATAAACTACAATCCTTGTTCGCGAAACCGTTTAATGAAACGACTATTGCACAGAGGCATGTAATGTATGCTCGGCTTCAATCACTACTTGCTTAGGAGGAGGCGTTTTGGCTTCAATCACTACATGTATTTGCTTATGTATCCAATCTCATGTGAAATTTTTTTCAGAGTTAATTTCTTTGCCTTTTATTTTGTTCGAACGATACTCCACTCGAAATTAATCTAAAAAAAACTACGACAAACTTTCATCAATCTACTTCATTTGCTCATCAATCGATGTGGCTTTTTTACTAAAGCGATACGGTTAGTTTTTTTTACTAAAACGAAACCTTTAGTCAATTAAATAGTTAGTCGTTACTTTTTTCCTTGCGAGAAAAGAATAAAGTGCTTTAGTCTCGTTTACCTTCTCGGTTCCCAAAATTAACGTTATATTGTAAATTAATTGGTAATATAAAAAGTAGTTGAACAATATCTAAGCACTTATAAAAGCTTTTTTTTCCTGATGTGGACTGATATTCTCAATACATCTCTTAAGGTGTGACGAATTTTTAAATCTAGCGCACGAACAAAACAAATCGAGTGACGTGAAACATGTATGTTTATTAGGTTTCACGAATTAGACAATTTACTTTGGGATTATGAAAAAAGCTGAAGTGACGTGAAACATGTATGTTTATTAGGTTTCACGAATTAGACAATTTACTTTGGGATTATGAAAAAAGTTGAAGTTCTATAGTAAAATCAATTGGGAATATGAGCAGTAGTAACATTATATATAAGTACATGTAAGTTATGTTCTTTATTCAATATGGAATTGATACTCTCAACTAATCACGATGCAATACTAGAAGATCCGATTCCCAAGATCGGTACTAATATAAATACGTGAGAAGATCTGATTCCTAATGTCGGTACTAATATAAAAACGTGATTAGTGGCATTAACGTCGGTATACGACTTGAGTTGATGGTGAGATTAAGAGCATCTTCAAATAATGCATTTTGGCTCACCTCTAAAGTGGGTGATGCTTACTTGTTCATCCCTCATTGATTACTGTTAAATTGCATTTTGCTCACCTTTAAAGTGGGTGATGCTTACTCGTTACTCTTTCATTGATTACTGTTAAATTAATTTAGCTTAATTGATTTAAGTTATGAATCTTAAAATTTAAATAATTTGACGAGAACCGGATTGAGCAAAAGTATATTCTCATCTCTAATAGCCTATACAAAGGTTGTTAATTTCTTGCATAGCCTATACAAAGGTTGTTAATTTCTTGCTAAATTTGAATAGCTTAGCTACGTATTTATTTGTCCTGAATTTGTGAAATCACTTATCAAATTTGGGACCTTCACCTTCATTTCACTTTCCAAACCTATGGACTTTCAAGTCCACCCAACAAACATTATAATTGTATTAAATGTAATAATTTTCAATTAGAAAGAGCCACACATGTATAATTAGATGGAAAGTCATTTATATTCCTCTTAATTAGAAAGAAAAATAGGCAAGTGTTTAAATTTTTATAAAGAACATATTTTTACTCGTAAATTGACGGATGCATGTTGGGACTAAATAAACTAAATAGGGTCAAAAATAAGTTTTATCATATTATTGCTAACTTATTGTGAGGTAGAATCCAATATATCATTTTTAGTGTAAATAATATCGTTTAATTAAAAAAAAAAACATTAATCAGTTAAATTAAAAAAACTGACGGATAAATATCGAACCCACTGCCGCAAGACGCATGTGTGTCCTTACTTTCCTGGTCGCTAGCAAATTAGCAGTCACTTCACCTAACCTATAGTCTATAGTCAGTCCAAAAATCCAAAACAGTCCAAAAACTCCAAAAGGGACACCGTCCATTAAAACGACAACGGTGGTCCTCAATAATTTCGCAGTTTCTACTTTCTAGGGCACCAGGTCCAATCTGCAATTAATATTATCCACCTCTCGATCAAATGTCCAGCCATCTCTACGGCTTCGGCGCTGCTGCTCAATCAGCTACTTCTGCCGCCACCGCCGCCGCCCTCTCCTCCGTCTACTCCTCCCGCGCCCTAACCGACTCCTACCTATCCGACCCCGCCCTCCGCTACTATTCCGGGTCCGACCCTTTCGCCGACCACCACACCCGAGCTAGCTCCATGTATCTTCCGCCGCATTTGATTCCCCATTCCGCATGGCCAGCTCCAGATGTCGAGCCCGGCGTCCCCGGCGTCAAACGCCCCTCCGAAGGTTTGTTCTTTTCACTCCTCCGCTGTCTATCACTCTACTTCCACTTTCTGTTTGGTTACTGGGAAAGTTGCTTGGGGACTGGACTGCAATCATTTTTTCACGTTTTGTCCTTCTGGGTGTAATTGTTTTTGTTTGTTGTACAAAAAAGTGGGGATCTTGAATTTTATTTATGTTAAAGTACATTACTTGAGGTGTTAAATTTTGTGCCTTTACTGCCTAAGCTTAAATTTTGTGTTGTTTCTAACATAATCTTGTATGCGTATACGTTTCCTGAAGTGTGTCGAATATGCTTTTCGAATTCGTTAGTAATGTTTGAAACTGTTTAGTGTTTCAAGCTTACTCGTATCAAGTCGTTTCACCCCAGATTTCACCTTAAAGAAGGAAAAATGGAACTGTTTTAGTAAAGGCATGTCTGATTATTATAGGGTTAGTATGGGGTGTAGCTAAAATTTACAATTGATTACTGTAGGGTTCATCTGGGTATTGTATTTTTATATGTCTAAGTAAGTACTTAATGTCCGGTAGTTTAGAGATTTTATATTGGCAATTAGGGCCTTCTATATGCACTTACAGAAGCATAAGAATATCTATATATGTGTTTAATATGTGTACTTTCATACTCAAAATTACTTTAAAAGCGATACTTATAATGTTACCTATATGTTTCCTCTGGTTTTCTTGTATATACGTGTCTACTACTATAGCACTCTACCATCAGAGTTATATGGGTGCCTATAATACGATTGGGCAAGAAGCTTGGTATGCTGCGTTAGCCAAGCGCCCTAGATACGAGGGTGCAAGCACTTTGCCTATATATCCACAGAGGCCAGGAGAGAAGGATTGTGCCCATTATATGCTCACAAGAACCTGTAAATTTGGAGAGAGCTGCAAATTTGACCATCCTATTTGGGTTCCTGAGGGTGGAATCCCAGATTGGAAAGAGGTGACTGTTTATTGTTATATTACATGCCTATAGTGGTATTTTATCATACTATACATACAAAATTAGTATTTAGTATTATAACTTCTTAAATTTTATATCTAAAATAAATTTCTTTAGTTT